GATTGTATAAAATTTAATTTATATCTAACGAATTGTGTTTATTTGATTGATTATTAGTATTAAATATTGGTTATATGTTTTTCCTTTCGATTACTTTAGTTGATTGTTTGTATCAAATACACAATTTTTTAAAACATAAATATGCATTTTCTTGTGATAAGTAAACTATTAATGAAGAAATATTTTTTAAATGTAAATCTACATTTTTTCGGGTCAAATATGAATCATTCAAAAATTAAGAACAAAGTATTCGATTTGTACAAAATTTGATGGTGCCCCTTAACTTAAATTCTTTGCGTCCGCCCCTGTTAATACCTTTTATTTATTTTTCCAAAATAGGGCTTTTTCCCTCGTGCCAAAACAGGACGTGACACACAAAAGCCTCTAATATATTTGACCTACTTGGCAAAAGATATAAACGCAATGCTTATGTATGATTGTGTCATCACATTAAGGTTAGTATGATCGTAACATGCCAAAAGTCTTGACCTCATGGAGAAGGGGATTAGAATCCATTGACAATACCAAAGAAAATTATATTTGGCGTGCGCCGCAAATGAATTATATAATACTGAATAATATTAATAAAGAAAAATATTAAAATAAAAATCTATTTTATTTAATATTATATGTATCAAACTTGTTTGATCTGAAATAAAGAAGTTACAAGTATAAAAGTTTTTATATTCTAGTATTCTTTAATTGGTTTAAAATATTTTGCAGTTTGGAATTTTGTGTGTAGTTAACTTGGATAATTTGAAATAGCAATTCTTGAAAAGGGTTTTTTCTTCCTTTTTCTTTTATATATTTAATTTGTTTTGTAGATGGAGGAAAAGACGAAAAGAAAAAGAATAAAAATATATGTTATAATTAAACCGCAACACTTCGTCATTTTTCAATTATTTTATACATATCAGACCAGACTACTAGATTAATGGTTCATGATTTTTCTGATTGAACTGATCGTTTCAATCTGATTTTCAAAACATCCGTGTAAAGAGTTCACTCTACCTTGTTTTGATTGAGGAAAGTGTCTAACGGGTGGAATGGACTTCTCAAAACAACCATACTTTACATTTTGTACTACTTAGAACGTGGATTTTGACAATAATATTGAAACGGAACCATTTTCACATTTTCCTAGTTTGATAGATGACATGATTAGATGGAAAAAGATCTGTAAATTGAAGATGAAGACCTCCATCATGATGACAACAGGCTGATATCATCATATGATTGGTCCAACAAGGAACATTTGGTCCCATTTTCAATTTCTCCCCACACCTCCAATAGCCTCCCCATTTTCTATCACAGCCCAACTCAAATGTCCTTATAAATACACACATGATGTTACACTCATAAATAGAGTGAAAATTGAATAAGAAGTTTATATATGAGAGCTGCTGCAGCTTCTCAATTCTTGTTGAATTTGAATCTAAACCCAAAAAATACGAACGATGTCTGGATCGAGTCAAGACTCTTCTTTCGAGCAGCCAAGATTGGCAACTAAGAAAATCTTGGCCAGACCTCAGAGTGAAGGTGTTGGAGCTGTTGTTAGAAGAAGCATCGGAAGGTATAATCCTAATCTTTCTGAAAATTTGTCAAATGGGCATTTCATGTTGGCTTAGATTCAATATGTGGAGCATTTATAGCGTGCTTGATATGCTATGCATGCATGTTTCTCAGGCCCGAATTGAAGTACTTCGATCCTTTCCTCGTATTGGACGAGTTTGCAGGTATACATATAATTATTCACTCATAGCATGTTTGGTATATTGGATTGGACAGCACGAGAAGACATACTAATCAAATAATGGGTTTGGTCTTACAGTTTCAGCTCCAGCCGGATTTCCCGACCATCCACATCGAGGTTCTATCTTGCACCCTAATTTGAAGCATATATTTACTTAGATTGTGTTCTAGATTGATGAATCTTGTCTTAACAGGTTTTGAGACTGTTACATACATGTTGCAGGTAAATTTCCTAAGTTTAAAACTCAAACTTCAATTGGTTGTGTATTGTTGGGGAAAGTTTGTATTGTAAGACTAAAGAATATAATCTTTTAGGGAGCTTTCACTCATCAAGATTTTGCTGGTCACATGGGTACAATACACACGGGTGATGTGCAGGTATATAGGAACTTTTACCTATCATTCTTCCACGTTTTCACGAACATGAACAGGCTAAAGTTATCTTGCTCGGGTCGTGCAGTGGATGACTGCGGGGAGGGGTATTATTCATTCAGAAATGCCGGCTGGAGAAGGTACTCAAAGAGGTTTGCAATTGTGGATAAATCTCTCTTCCAATAACAAAATGTAAGCTACCCTACTTGGATTTTGATTCTTTTCTGTTTGAATGATGCAAAGCAAAACCAATCAAACTACTTCCTTATCCTGCAGGATTGAACCAAGGTATCAAGAACTGCTAGATGAGGACATTCCAAGGGCACAGAAAGATGGAGTCGAGGTTAAAGTCATTGCAGGGGAAGCTATGGGGATTCATTCTCCTGTATGTACTCGGACTCCTACTCTGTACCTCGATTTCACCCTGAAACCCCACTCTCAATATCATCAAAGCATCCCAGAATCATGGAATGCTTTTGTGTACATAATTGAAGGCGAAGGGGTGTTCAGCTCCCTCAACTCACCAGCCACAACAGCTCACCATCTACTGATTTTGGGTCCAGGAGATGGCCTAAGTGTATGGAACAAGTCTTCTTCGAAGATATTGAGATTTATTTTGGTAGGTGGGCAGCCACTCAACGAACCGGTAGTTCAGCACGGTCCATT